CATACTGCACCATTACAAAGTTTACCTGCTCATGAGTTGCTTGTGAAATGCGGGTTGCAGTTTTGCTATCTATCTTTGTAAATAACCTCATAAACTCTATCGATCTGCCCAGGTCTTCATTCAAAGTGGGTAAGTTGGCGGACTTCCCTGGTCAATGGCATACCCGTTTTCCACCAATTATTGTCGCTTGCTCTCTCTCTCTATAACTTCATGTAACTTCATGGAAAATGGAACCGAGCCCCTTGACAGGTCTCAGCTTCTGTCTGTGAAGCTTCTGTACTCTCACACTGAATACGCTCAGTGTTTTAAACTTCATGTTCTCAATCATAAAACATGGCAACAATATTTACAATGAACAATCAATACGACCTTGAACGACTAGGTCCCTCTGGTTATATTACTCGTTGCTACAAATATCACAAATAAAACAGACATATCACATGACTTTTTAGACTTTAGCTGTCTCCAGCTGTCTTAGTTCTTCTTTTTAACCATACAATCAACAATTAACAGCTCTGGAGGGCGTCCAGATATACACTTCAACTAGCACCCAAAAACTTGGGGCATAATATTGACTGTACTATGAACATCCTAGGCTTGATTTATACAAATAAGGGTGGCCTAAGCAGAAGTACTATTCTCTTCCGTCCTTTTGAGCATTTTCTCTAGTACCTCATAAATAATTACAGGCTTTTGGAAGTCATTATCCACCAAGTTGAGCAGGAAGAACTCGTCATGAATTTTCTGGATAACTTTGCGCGATACTGAGTCCTTTGGATAAATGTTAGCCCTGAAACACAGAGTGAGTACAATGCGAATTTAGGTTGCTGACTGTCGTAAACTAGGAATTTGCAGAGTCATACCAGTTTTTAATCCAGGCATCGTACGCTTCGTCCTTCCATGCCCGGAACGCCAAAGGATCCACAACTGTCGGCTGGGCGATTTCCGCTCCAGGGAAGACACCCCACGTAACTGCGATTGGAGTTGTCTGTTCACCATTCATACGATCGAAGGAACCCTTAATTCCTTCCATAACTCGAGTCCACGAAATTTGAAGTTTACATGGAAGTATGGAAAGAAACAAAGACTTTCAACCTTCATCTCCACTCTATCTTCACAGAACTTTGCTATAATCGCAGATCGGTGTGCAGGGGATGTTCTAACGAGGAGGCCGCTTTTCACGCGTGCGGTCCAGCGATCGAACCCCGGGTCGACTCCCGCCCAGGCCAACCAAGCCCTTCTACCCTCTAGGGACGGTAAATTGGTACCAGATTCGTCTGGGAGGATCAAAGCACCGACCGGTACATCGGCTGATCTCCGCAACTCTTTGTATAGGTCATGTCGGATTCAGTAAGCCATTACGATTGTGAGGCAAAGTAGAATGCGAGTCACATCCGCGAGTCACATGGACTCATCAACGGCAATGCTTTATTGGTATAATCCTCTGTAACGACTCCAAAATTGGTTCTCACTGCTGAAAGATCTCATTTTCAGCTACATCGGGCGTGGACAAGATTTCAAAGCGTCTTCAGAATGTCTGCTTTTACGATCGCCGTATATACACAGCTAGGCTGATGACACCGCCTGTTCGATCGCGGGAACCAACTCCAAAAAGAAGACTCAGTATTTGTCGGAAGAGCCCAATTAAAGCAGCAAAAAAGGGTGGGGACATGAATAAGTTTTTGTCGCACTTGCCTTTGTCCGACAAATTACTATTGAGATCTGACTTGGGATAGCGCGGGCGTATCACATCCTTGCGTATTATCCGACGTGGCGCAAAGTCTATGCAGTTCTAATGTGTTCATCACATGATATGCCGAAGCGAAAGGTCATTCGAAATACATACTATGTTTTCTAATAAGTGGTGTTGTAGAAGAGCTTGCATTTATTCCCAACTTTCAAGGGCGGGCGTTGCTTACTGCATACACACAGGTCACAGATTCACCGAGACGGGCTCCACGCCTTACTGGTCAAACTGCCATCCCCGATGTCGGTGATTAGTGCCAGTGTTATCTGACCATGAAAGTCCGCCTACTTACCATGGAACTCTTGAATGGAGACCTGGGTAGATCGATAGAGTCTATAAGGTTATTTACAAATATACAGGGGGGGGGGGCAAAAAAAGTCACTTTTCTTCATTGACTTTCGAGGCGCTATAAGTTACACTTTATTAAATTCTGATCGGACATTTTTACCACCATATTAAGAGCATATTAAATACTATCATGACACTCCGCCACAGCCTTCTGGACGAGCGCCATCGAGAGATTCTGGCACGCGACCGCGATGTGGTGCCTGAGATCAGCGAGATAGTCGATTTCTCCGCCACCGTAGACCACCCTATTGAACTCCGCCCGAACCGGGTAATTGAGGGGATTCAGGTCAGGTGACCTACTTGGATATTCCATCTTCTTCAGGTACTCAACCCCTTCCATTCCAAGTAGGCGAGTGGCACCAATGCTGTAGCAGTACAAAGTTTCCAAGAAGGTACGGGCGACCACATGTGAGGAGGATATTCTTCACGAGTTGCCCAATGTAACCGCCAGCGCTCACCTTCAGTCCGGGGTCCACGAAGAAAATATTGGTCTTTCCATTCCAGGTACGTCCGGTCCATACCATCAACCCGCGCCTTGGCGACTGCGGTGAAGATGATGTCCTAGACCGTGGCGACGTTGTCGGAGCTGCTCGATGTTGGAGGTCATCCAGATCGAGAGTACTGGTCTCCAGGTAGCTATCCATGGGTGACTCCATACTAGAAGTTTCGCAGCTGTTTGGAGGTGACATGAATTCCAAAGGTCTTCTCCAGTCAGGCTGCGACTGGAGATGACTTCATATTTTGGTGTACATGAAGGTGATGGGCGAGAGCCAGCTCCTGCTTATAGAGGAACATCTTGGGTATCTTCCGCCCTGGTACTCGTATCCACGTCCTCTGTCTGGGCAGCGAAAACTTTGCTGATATGTGACTCGGTCGAAGTGACTTTTTTGCCCCCCCCCCTGTAGATAGCAAAACTGCAACCTGCATTTCACAAGCAACTTATGAGCAGGTAAAGTTTGTAATGGTGCAGTAGGGTGGAGGCTTGGTGGTGAGCTGTGAAGCATAAGCGAGGAATCGCATACGTCGAATCGAGTCGTCGAACGTCGAACCTTACCACTGAACCACCACGACTCGATTCGACATATGCGATTCCTCACTTATGCTACACAGCTCATCACCACGCCTCCACCCTACTGCACCATTACAAACTTTACCTGCTCATAAGTTGCTTGTGAAATGCAGGTTGCAGTTTTGCTATCTATATTTGTAAATAACATTATACACTCTATCGATCTACCCAGGTCTCCATTTGAAGTTCCATGGTGAGCTGGCGGACGTCTGTGGTGAGAGCATAAAACACATGCACATCGGCTGCCAATTTCGGTTAATCACTTTGATAACGAGAGTTGCAAAAAATTGAATAAAAAA